TGTCTAATTTTTATAACTTTTGATATTAATATTTTAATATTGCTTAATTTAAAAATAATACCTTAAATATTGCTTGACTAATTTTTGTTATTAGGAAAGAAAAGTTTCTCTCACAAAAAGTAAGCAATATGGTAGGTAAACTATGACTTAGCTAATGCAAGCCTTTAGATATTAAAATATTCTTACCAAAAACCACTCATAGTTTCTTTAGAATTTATTAAAGCAAGCTAATAATCACATAAGGTGAATGTTACTCACTGCAGAGGAAACACACGTGCATGTGTGGCTCAGCATCCGTGGGCTGAATCACTGCTTTAATCACAAGGCAGCTTCACCCACTGGATACTTACATACCAGTGTTTTCCAAGCCACGGAAAATGCTGAATTACAGAAATAACAAAAATGCTTAAAAGACCAAGGTTTGGCAACACTGGTTTTTGACAATTAATAAAATTGTACCATTAAAAAACTATGATTTCTCAGTGATAATTTTTTTTTCCAGTTTGAGAAAATAAGCACTGAAAAAAAACACAATGACAATGATGGCAACAACAGCAATGACAACAACTATTCTGCTTCATTAGGTTCATTCAAACCCATCTTTCTAGGCTTAGAGTGTACCATCCCCTTATACGAACAAATGGGTCATGCAAAAATGTGTACCTGTGTCCTTGTGTCCACCCAAACCATGTCTAATTCCTTTCCAAAATTACATTTCAATTCCTGCCTGAAACTCTGTTCAACTCCTTTTTATTTATCTAAATTACGCAGTACCTTTTAGATTTAATTCAAAACTTCTCAATGAAGCTTTATTCCCACCTTACTTGAAGTCAAAATAATTTTTCTATCCCACCATATTTTTTGTTGTTTATATTATTTATTGGCTAATTATCAATCTGTGAATTATTAAGAATACAAGGATATAAATATTAACAAAGGTGAATAAAGATGCAGTCTCACATAAAGAAACTGCCACTAATAAAATAATCACATATTTGTAAAGTTGTAAAAATGTAACACTACTGCTATAGTAAGTACTGTCAAAGAGACAGACAACTTTAGGAGATGGGAGGGCCTATAGCAGGAGGGGTTGACCTCACTAGGTGAGTCCTCAAAGTCTTCCATGATCAACTTACTCTTAAGCTGAGATATAAAGACAAGTAGAGGATATGTACTAATAGATGAAGAGATACAGGAAAGAACCTTCAGGCCAAGAGACTATCACACATAAAAGTCCTGGGGCTGGAGAAAGCAAGGCCAGTTTTGAGGACTGGAAGGGAACAAGCAGCAGTAGTAGAAGAAGCCAGAAAGAAGAAGAGGCTGGGGAAGGCAAATACATTTTTGCCTTTATCCTAAAAATAAGAGAAACCACTGAAGGGTTTAAGCAGGAGAATAAGGAATAGCACCATCAGATGAGTTTTCAAAGATTGCTG